ACCAACCAAATTATGGGCCAACCAAATATCAATGTAATCCTTGGACAGCATTCGCCATATTTTCATTTCCAGGATGCCAGCGTTCAAGGTTGCCCCTATTTACACGTGCAACTTGTGCAACAACGAAGTTCCACTCACGCACAACCAGGTTACCTATCACTTCGCGAAGCACCATGCCGACGCCGAAGGGCCGGTGTACAGCAGGCACTGTACAAAGCGGCAGGACTTGATGGACGCGCGTGACGACGAAGAATCAAATCTGCGGATGGTAACGTATCTATCTACTCTGTTTATTGACTGTAGCTTATGATTATAGGTGCATATCGACGAGATTTGGGAAGCGCTTCCAAACTGGGAGATGAGGTTCAACCTCCTTCTCATGGCGCCAATCTACTGCGCCCTTCATATTCCTTTACCCGATTTTAGTTCATTCATAGCTAAGTTTAAGGCACATAGTCGTAAAAGTAGCAAGAAGAAGCGCAAAGCTGAGGTCGCGAAGTTGCCCCCCGGCCCTGCTGCCAAAAGGAGCCGCCCTTCTGATCCAAGGGTGCCACGAGAAATTTGATGTTTATGTAGCATAAGCTCATTCTATCTATTGTTCGTAATGGTAGTACACAGCATTAACAAGCATCCAAATTATACCATAATAGGCCGGCATATAGCAGGTCATGTCTATAGTGATGGCTGTTCGGATAATTGACGCCTGTCATGTAGCGCGTCCGAGAGATAACAAGGCGACGAATGCATGTACGGTACTAGTCCCACCTCTGAGTACGTCACTCAGCGGTGGGGCCAGGCGAAGAATGAGTGAAAATGGACCTGTATTCGTCGAGATAGAGGTGGTCATGGCTGTTGTGGAAGCCCGACGTGATGTCCTCGGCACATTGATGATGAGGTATGACCGTGTATGTGTGTACGGCACTGATCCCATTTCTGAGGGCATCTCGTAGTGGTGGGACCAGTCGAAGAATGACTGGAATTGGTCCTGTATTGATAGTATGTCATGCCGCATGATACGGTACATGCTTTGTCATAATAATTATGGACACGATTTTCATGTTAATCGGTCAATAAAAGCACGCGCAAGTAACCCAGCAAGCGTGAAAACCCCAAGCACGCGTGAACCCCCTAAAAATTGTTCAAAATACGCGACACGAGTAAATACCCCAAAAAGCACGCGTGAAAACCCTACACCCACTATGACATCATGCTGGAGTACTGGGGTACCAAGGTGGGGTACAAAAGGGAATCCCTCATGAGCACGGATGATTGTATCGAGAATGACAACGTGGTCGTATTGGATGGTATAAATAGTATATATATTACTTACTACTTACTATATATTAATGAGCTATTATATAAATGTAGACGAGGAGGATGACGTTGAGCCACAAAACAAGAAGCAAAAGAAAAACAATGTGGAAAAGAAGCCCAAAGACGCAGCAGCGTCATTGGAAGCTGGATTTAATTCCATCAAGGAGGGATTGATGTTTTTGGGGTCATCGCTGTCCGGTGTTCAACCCCAAGTAGCGCCTGGTGCTACACTGGACGATGTTCTTACTGCAATTAAGGCCCAGTCCGATACCATGACGAAGCTCTTAGCGCATTTAGTAGCGCAAAAAAACAGATTAAGGTATTTTACGCAAAATCGTTAATATTGTTCACTCAATTATTACACTTACAGTCCCCGAACGCAAAGACCGACCTTTTTTGTGTTTTGGGCCTTTGTGGATGAAATTTTTCGAAAAAAAGTGTTGTCCTGTGTGCCGTTTCGCTCCGAATGTAATGTTCGTGTCCTCGTTCCTTCAAACAGAATACTCCGCAAGAAATGGTTATTTAAAGACAAGAATGATAGTCAATTTGCATCCTAAATATGTATACTCTTTGACAGCTGATAAATAACTCTCAAGACTTGATTTGTTCCTGAAGGCAAAGAAACCTGGACGTCATTTATACTTTGCCATCTGATACTTACTCCTTCAATTTCATTGGTCAGGTTTCAGGTCATGGGTGCGTGACTTTCATGACCATTCACCTTTCATGCTTCGACACTGCCTGCCATGCCTGGACTCGCCACTGAGCTCTACGACGAGATCACAGCTTTCGTCGATAGTGAGCGAACACGCAGTTTATCGAGGGACGAACGTCTCTTGATACTTCGCATGCATGCACACCTGCGACATAGCGATGCTGTGGGTGTTGCAGAACACATTGCACAGTTGGTAGGTCGAAGCCTGCATGCTGTAAAGGAAGTATGGTCTGAATATCAACGAGATAAGACTGTGACTGCTGCCACCGTTGCTGCGAATAGATCTAGCCGCAATACACGTATTCCAGACACAAAACAGGTCTTGTCTATGATTCAATCATTTGTTCGTGAGCGTCGATCAACTCGCACTCGAGTGGTTGCAAAGGATGTGATGAGTTTATTGTATGAACATGGTATTGTGAATTACGATCCTCAAAACAAAAAGGCTGTGAATGCGTGTTTGCGGTTAGTGCAGAAGTTCCTTGTGAAAAAGGGGTTTCGGCGTGGCTAAAGAAAGGGAACTCATTCTATTAGACTTACTGACGCTGTTGCTAGTGCTAGGGATAAATACGTTCAATACATGTCTACGGCAATAGAGTCTCCACAGCCTCAGCCGGTAATATACATGGACGAATCCTACATCCACCACCATTACGCTCGTCACAATGACAGTCTGTACCATCCCGATGACGCGACCGATGCGAAACCGAAGCACAAGGGACGCCGGCTCTGCTTCATCGCCGCGAGCATGGCCGACGGCCGCGACGACTCCAAGCTGTTGACCTACGATGTGTTTGAAGGCAGGCGTAAGCAACCAAAAGACTACCACGCCATGTTCAACCATGCTTACTTTGTCGCGTGGTTCCAGCGGCTGCTCGACGACGTCTCCGCCCTACAAAAGACCAACGCCATCATCGTGCTTGACAATGCAAAGTACCATAAGGGGCTCCCCGACGACACACCCAAGGGAGCGTGGACGAAGGCGCGAATGCTGGCGGCGTGTGAGACCTACGGCATCGAATTGGATGTGAAAGAGTACCGATCAACCCTGTGGGCCAAGTTGAAGACTTATGTTGCTGCCAACGTCGTACCTGTGATCGTGCAAATGGCCAAGGACCGCGGCCACGACGTCGTTTTCACGCCGCCATACCACAGCGACCTCCAACCTATCGAAATGGTATGGTCGTTTGTCAAAGGTGCTGTTGGGCGACAGTACGATACGTCCACGAAGTTCCCCGACGTGCGCGAGCGGCTTGACCGCGAGTTTGACCGCCTACCGAGCAGTGTTATTTTCGACTGCATTGGCCACACCGACCGCAAAGTTGTGGACATGGCCGCGTACCTGAATGCCGTGGCCGAGGCGGACGATGCTGCCGGCGCCGCCTACTCATCAGAGAGCGAAAGTGAAAGTGATGCCGACAGCTGCGACGAGTGCAACCTCGGTGATTACGGTGGTGATGAGTAATCCCTGTAATAGTAAATGGTTTTGAAAATGAATAACTTGCCTTGATAAGCACACAAGAGGTTGCCGGTTCTGAAATGTGATGAATTATCCGGACGGTCGGTCGATGCGTTCGAGGACTGTTAATATAAAATTCGTGCAATGGCAGTGCGCTTCGTCAAGCTGTCTTGCGGAGGAATGGGTTTGTTTCCGACTCCGACTTATCAAACGGCTGAACTTGATCGTTGCGGTCGCGACGGCGATTTGGAATGGCAAACAAACCATCGTTGTAATACAAGAACATGTTATGGAGCACAAAGCACGCAGTCACAACGGTTGTGGTTTGATCGAGCGACTTTTCGTTCATCACCGTCTTCAAAATTCGAAATCTTTCCTTGAGTCGTCCAAATGCACATTCAACCGACATTCGAGTGCTGGAATCCTTGTAATTGAAATTCTTTTGTAATTTAGATAAATTACCGTGCTCCTCGTGAGCCATGAATGGTGTGATAAGCCATGGCATCAAGGTGTAACCGGCGTCACCAAGGAGAAAACAACCCTTGGGTATTTTCCAACTAATGGAATAGCCGAACGATGATGTTTTCGAGATTTTTTTGTCAGAGTACGAGCCTGGGCGAATGTCGACCGACATAAAACGCGTCTTGGCGTGAACCACTGCCTGGATGTTGAGGGATAGGTCACCGTTGCGATTGTAAAACCCGTCGTAGTCCTTGGGGCGTTGTATTTCGATGAGGGTGCCGTCGACAGCGTCAACCACACCAGGTATTTTTTGTCTGGCAAAAAATACCTGCTCAACGTCGTTCCACTCCGCGGAGTTTCTTGGTAGATTGATCCACGTTGCTGCGCTTGACGACAGGACTCCCACCAACACGCTGATAACATTGACGCACCACGACTTGGACATTCCAAACGCAGCGGCCGTTTCACGGTAACCTCCGTCGGAGCCGAGAAAGTACAACACAACAACCACCTTCGTTTTGAACGAGTGATGGGAAAGCCGACGGTAGCGTTCAGGTAGTTCGTGACGTATCCAATCGATGAGCCGACTGAACGTAGCTTGGCTGCATCGCAGATTGGCCTTGAACCATTTTTCGTACTGAGGGTGTCCGAGCATTGAGTCAAAGTCGACTTTTGTAACGGTGAGTATATTAAACTTGTCACATGGACGTCTATGGAGGACGGTGGCTAACCCGATGCACACGGCGGAAATGGTGCATGCAGTTGAAACAACGGCGGCACGAGTTGGATTCATCCTGATGGGGGCAAGGACAAAACTGATTCTTTACCGACCACAAGGTTGCTTGTGCATCCGAATATTTTTTAACCGGATAGACATGAATGGACGGAAACATGGACGAAATTATTCCCCGACCAGGGCCAAATAACTCGATGAATATATAGTACGTATAGCTCGTAGCGACCTCTATAATACGTCATTATGTAGAGATCATGCTTGTCAACACGTGGATTGAGTCTCGGGCTGGTCGGTTTACATTGACTCATGTTGTGTGGCCTTGAAAGTGGCTGTCTCAAATATAACATCCAAGTTGACCAACTTTGTTAGCTCTATTTGCTTCCAAATATAACATCGTTTTGATGTGTTGTTTTTAAACATTCTATTCTCGCCATGATAAAAATAATGAAAAGGTTTCTTGAAAAGTGCGCTTCCATTGAGCAAGATTGACAACCTAATCACCAGCGAAGATGCGACGACGAAGGTTTCTGTCAACCGGGTGAAGTAAGAACTAATCCGATAATGTAACATTGCGACAATAGGCGCCAGCTCCATGGAGTTCGTTCTAATATGACCATTTATTTCCCTCACCCTCCAGCCCAGAATAATGTTTACCAATACTAGTACGACCAGATTTTTATTACTTCGAAGTATATTAATAATTCAGAGCTCATTAATTGACAGCTCACACGATTAATAAGGCAATATGGGTGTGGTCGAAGCTGATTGGTTATAATTCAATTTTCCCATAAATATTTCGGATCTATTACCTGTAATACCGTATGTTTGGGCGAAATGGCTTCCGGGCTATCGGGGGAGCCTACTCCTCAGCCAATTCTAAACATTATTAACAACGGATTAGCCCACGCCATCCGCAATAATGTTATACGTGGCGTGGGCTAGTCAGCATGTCATGAATCGAATTATTGGCAGAGGAGTAGGGTGCCCAATTTTGAAAATCGGCATGACGATCGACTTTTCTGAAACATTCGAAAACACACGACTTCCAAGCGAATTTAAATAAACTTCATAATAATAATTCCATCTGATAATATGGGCGGGAATTTGCAGTCAAGTTCAAATGCCACGAAAAGCACGTTCACGAACACTGGGACGCAGACGAAAAGGTGTCCACAAGTGCGCCAATGTGCCCATCCTAGAACAGCGACTACGACCAGTCATCAGAACTATCGACACCGTGGTCAATGCGGCAACAACAAACGCGCGCAGCCCTCCTACGTCGTCCGTCGGTCAGCGCCGTGTGGCTTGGGTAGTATACTTTATGGATAACTTGGGTGCTCCACCAAGCAGTGCATGGCACGGCGTGCATGGTGCAGTGAGTAACATTGTTCGACACTTCCAGTTACAACACGGCAAAAGACGCCATGTCTTTTCTGTTATCGTCAACGTCACCGACTGCATTAAGCGTGGTGTGAGCTACAGTGGAAAGTCCAAATCTCATGGTGGTCAAAACAAATGTATCGACACCGATGCAGTTGAGAATCAAATAATTGCCAATTGTATGGAGCATGGGCATGGGCTACGCGAATCGACGTTTGCAGTAAACCAACACCGTCAAAAGTCCAACTCAGTTGTGGTTGGTATGTCAGCCGTGTACAGTGCGTACCATCGACTGAGCCCTGTAGTATCGTCCATTCCACCTATCAAGCAAGGCAATTCCAACATGGGCTCGGCATGGGCTACAGCTCGTCTTGGATGGACAAGACAGCTGGCTGTGCGACTTGGTATATGGAGTTGGGATCCCTCCGTGCTCGGGCAATGCCCAAGCGCATATGATGCCGCCAACCTGACGCCATTGGATGTTTGCCAGATTGTTTCGTGGGACGAAACTCACAAAGCCATCAAAATCGGTGGCGGCGGGCACAACACGAACATGCAAGTACGCTTCAAGCGTGACGCCGTTGGTCGGGTCTGTGCTGATGGTGCCTTGGGCGCCCCCAAAACATACCTGAACACGAAATACAGCTCAGAGGCGAGGTTTTCCCTTGGGTGTGCGGTAGTGACTAATGATAGTGGTGAGCACATCGGAGTGCGTTGTGTGCCGTTTGTGTACACGGGACAGTGGATTTGCACAATCAAGGACTACGAGGCTCTCATTCAACAAGAAATACAGCGAGTCAAAGGGTTGACGGGGGAGTGTTCTGTGTGGGTTACGGGGTCACGACAAAACGACTCTGGTACAATTATGTATTACTTCTATCATATACATTATAGATTATGAAGTAAAAATACTAATGTAATACTATATGCTAGTAGTAACAAATATTGTAGGTATATTCCATGGAGATTGCATCTCTAAATTACGCGGAGTTGGGCGCAATCTCAAAGCACAGTTTGAGAGGCTTGGTATTTTGACAATTGGCGACTTTGCAGCGAAACAGTCAAGTGACTTGGTTGTTTTGGTGACGCACCTAACTGGAATCAGTCAACGAAGTCTGCTGACATTTCATGCTCAAACACTCATGGTGTTCGTTGGATCGTATATTGACGCCAAGATTGACCACCGACAAGCCCACTACCCCTACGAATCCAGATATGGCAGCAACTGGCAACATGTGATCTCGAAATGCACCGCAATGACTGGTCATTGTTGTGTGACGACCCTAATCGAACAAATCGTTACTGAATCAAGCCGAGTGATGCGGGCTACGGCTCACGAAGATGACTGGGTGTTTTGGCACGATGCCATGTCTCAGATGACGTGTCATTCCACTATCCAGTGGATGAGATCAAAGGACTACTTGCGCCGGTGGATCTTACCAGAACAAAACCTCAACGTTGGAACTGATTTTGCTGGCCGACCTGTTGGCAACAGTCCCGAGTTGATGTGTTGGGACTGATCGCTAATCAAAGACGTCGACAACTCTTTCCAACGGCACAAGGCATGGACAGTCCACTTACCTCGTGGGTCTCCTGCAAAGTTCTGTTCATCAACACCTCAACGCCTCGAGCAATCGTACCTACGGTTGTTTGATCCAAGTCTTGGTCCGCATGCAGGTGTCCCTACAAGCTCGCGCATTATCCAAGACGTCAAAAAGTGTTTTGGAAGTCACCTTTTGGCCGTGATTGCTGCATACGGCGCCGTCGTACATGGTCTTGGAAACCGTAATGGCAAGCGCCAAGAGCCTGGTTTCGGGACTTGTGGTGGCAAGCGGGTGAAGTTGTTTGATGTGCTTGGCCATTGGCTGCATCCTGACGCTGATGCTGGGCTACTCGACCAGCTCAACATGGCCACTCGTGCAATCGAAGTGTCGAAATCCTCTGATGAGGTTGTGGTGGTGTAACGTTAATATCAGAAGAGTAATATAATGATGTGCACGATTAAAAATACTCGCAATTAACAGTGGTCGAACGCATCGAGCGACCTTCCGGATAATCTATCAAATTTCAGGACCTTCAACCTCTGGAGTGCTTATGCAAAGTACAATATTCATTTTGAGAAGAATTGACTATTACAAGCATTACACATCACCATCGTAGTCGGCAAAATCGCAGTCGTCGCAACTGTCGGCATCACTTTCGCTTTCGCTCTCGGACGAGAATGCGGCCCCAGCGGCATCATCGGCATCGTCGACATCATTCAGGTAGGCTGCCATTTCTACCACTTTGCGATCGGTATGGTTGATGCAATCGAAAACCACGCTACTCGGTAGGCCGGCGAATTCACGATCCAGCGGCTGGCGAACGTCCGGGAACTTGGTCGAGGTATTGTACTGCCGCCCAACAGCCCCTTTGACATACGCCCAAACCATCTCGATAGGTTGCAGGTCAGAATGGTACGGTGGCGTGAAGACCACCTCATGGCCGCGGTCCTTGGCCAACTGCACGATCACAGGTACGATGTTCGCTGCAATATGGGTCTTCAGCTTAGCCCAAAGCGTCGATCGGAACTCCTTCACGTCAATTTCGATTCCATAGGCTTCGCAAGCCTCCGCCATTTTTCGTTTCGTCCACGAGCCCTTCGGCGTGTTGTCGGGTAGGCCCTTGTGGTACTTCGCGTTGTCTAACACGATGATAGCATTGGACTTTCCCAGGGAATCGGCTTCATCAAGGAGTCGCTGGAACCACGCCACAAAGTACGCATGGTCAAACATTCCATGGTAGTCCTTCGTTT